GAGAGAGAGAGAGAGAGAGAGAGAGAGAGAGAGAGAGAAGAAGAATTGATTCAATCTCAAAATGGCGTTATTCATAAAATTTTTAGGAACAATGCATAAACTAGGCGTTTAGTTGAAGATTTGGTGAATGAAGAACATAGGAATGAAAAAAATCTTAATGAACATGGAGATTTAATGAATGAAGATAGGAAAGAGAATCAAAATGAAGAAAATGTGAATGAATTTGAAGATTTGGTAAATGAAGAATATATGAATGGGAATAGACTATAAATAATGATAGTTTGAAGCGTTTATGTCATAACCTTGAACAGGGCCGGCCCTGAGATTGAAAAAATCTCGAGAGGCCCTAAGCGGACTTTAAATGTGAGGCCCTCTGTACATAAGTTTCACACGCGCAAATTTTTTATTTTATAATAGTGCGATTTTTTTTTTTTTTTTTTGATAAGTATAGAAGTGCGAAATTTTCATTAAAGTAAATGTGACCTTTCTGCATTCTGAGCTGCAAAATTATCAATTAAAGTGCTCAAATCAACTTTCTCCAACACATCTTTTTCACTAGACAAAATTAGCCATCTCCTATCATATTTTTCACCGTTTGACAAGTGTCGAATGTAATATATAGAAGATAAATGTCTATTTTTTGAATTTTTAGGAAAATTTTCAAGTTTAGTATCTCTTGGAGGACTTCTCTCAACTAATAAATCTCTCATTTGTTTATCAATATCTTTCCAATTTCCTGGATCATTAATGTTCAAATGAAGATTATCATTCTCATTCACCAAATTTTTAAGTTCATTCACATATTTTTCATTTACCAAATTTTTAAGTTTATTCACATTTTCTTCATTTTGATTCTCTTTCTTATCTTCATTCATTAAATTTCCATGTTCATTAAGATTTTCTTCATTCCTATGTTCTTCATTCACCAAAACTTCAACTAAATACTCAGTTTGTGCATTGTTTCTAAAAAAACTTATGAATAGCGCCATTTTGAGATTGAATCAATTCTTCTTCTTCTTCTTCTTCTTCTTTTTTTTTTTTTTTTTTTTTTTTCATACCCAGATTTAAATTTTCTTGTAGACATAATTGTCAAAAATCTTACAATCTTATAAATCTAAATAACAGGAAACACAATCAACATAAAACTAAACTTAAAAAAAAATGCTCTGCTGAAAGAAAATATAGATTACCTCAATCTCAATGGCTCAATATGCAATAATATGATTTACAGAAAAACAAAAATACCTCATGAGATGTCTAAATGATATGTCTTCAAGTGAAAGATTGCTGGAATCCTGTATTATAACAAATTCATTTGTCAAACAATAATTCCATAAGAACAATTGAGATATGGGGGCAGTGTCCGTTTTCACACTAAAAGGCTTTAAAAAAACAAAGAAAAAGAGAGCAGTTATTTCTAGGCTTGTGCCTTGTGGGATCTTATTAAGTCTGATATCAACTATAAAATAACACCACAAGAGGAAAGGCAATGCCACAAGTCAAACCGAGAACTGATATACGAAAATAAAATTATTTGCATTAGTACTAAATAGTTTGAACATTGAAACACAATTAATAAGACATTGAAGGTCAGGTGGATATACAAAGTGTCAGAGACTTACAAAATTCGATAATCAGTTTCATGTTGATAACAATTGATATAGATTTAAGTTCATCAAAATATTCAGACTACTTCTAACTTAATAAGATCGTATCCGACTTAATATAGATTTAATAGATCTAAGTTCATCAAAATATAGATTTAATTGATATAGATTTAAGTTCATATCTGACTTAATAAGATCTCACAATATTCAGACTACTTCTAACTTTAGATTTAAGTTCATCAAAATAACTACATGAAGTCTTAAAGACTTGAATTAGAGTTAGAAGTAGAAAACTTAAAGTTACAGTGTTCAGTGTCCGGAAGAAAGCAAGGGCGAATCCAGGAATTGTTAATTTGGGTTGGGGAAGAGGGGGGGGGGGGGGGGGGGGGGAATATTAACCAAGAGGGAATTGGGAATCGAAAGATTAAAGAGTTGAAAAATTTTAGAGGAAATAGGGTTAGACTTTAGAGGGAGAGAAGGAGTGAGCTCTCTGATTTATGCAAGATTAGGAATTTAGGAGTTCTCTGTGCTTCGGCTTAGTGATTGTTTATGACTTGTTTGGCTTGGGCTTATTTGGTTAGGCCTTTGTTTTAAAATTGTGGCTTAGATATTGGACTTATTTGGATGGGTTAAAATTAGGCGAGGATAATATTACTATTAATTTTTTCTTTTTTAAAACATTGGGCTAAATATACCTATACTAAAAAAAAAAAAAAAAATTTTAGGGGGGGTGGGGCTCAAGCCCACCCAAGCCCCCCCTTTGGATCCGCCACTAGAACAAAGAGAGATAGGACAGAGTCACAGAGAGTGAGATCTAGAGGAACTGAGTTTTGAACTTTAGATTTTTACTGTTGCAGTCTTGTTGCTCTTGCAGAGGAGGGAGAGAGAGACTAGAGAGAGAGAGAGAGAACGAGAATTTGGATTTGGATGGAGGCGAGGTTCAATTGTTCAAGTGATATGCTTGCCCTAATTTATTTTGTTTTATTTTTGAGGCCCCCTTTTGCTGCATTTGGTTAGACTTTTTTTTTTTTTTGGTAGCCCATTATTCTTGAGGCCCTTTGCTGCAGTTATAAATTTTTTTTTTTTGGTGCCCAACATTCATGGGCTTATAAATTTTGATTTACTGCATCTGGTTATAATTTTTTTTTTTTTTTTTTTTTTAAACAAGGGGGAATTGGGGATCGAAAGATTAAAGAGTTGGAAAATTTTAGAGGAAATAGGGTTAGACTTTAGAGGGAGAGAAGGAGTGAGCTCTCTGATTTGTGCAAGATTAGGAATTTAGGAATTCTCTGTGCTTCGGCTTAGTGATTGTTTAGGACTTGTTTGGCTTTTGGTTGTGCCTTTGTTTTAAAATTGTGGCTTAGATATTGGACTTGTTTGGATGGGTTAAAATTAGGGAGGGGGGGGGGGGGGGATAATACTACTATTAATTTTTTCTTTTTTAAAACATTGGGCTAAATATACATATACTAAAAGAAAAAAAAAAAAAAAAATTTTTTTAGGGGGGTGTGGGGCTCAAGCCCACCCAAGGCACCCCCTTGGGTCCGCCACTGGAACAAAGAGAGAGAGATGACAGAGTTACAGAGAGCGAGACCTAGAGGAACTGAGTTTTGAACTTTAGATTTTTACTATTTCAGTCTTGCTGCTCTTGCAGAGGAGAGAGAGAGACTAGAGACAGAAAGAGAGAGAACGAGAATTTGGATTGGGATGGAGGCGAGGTTCAATTGTTCAAGTAATCTGCTTGCCCTAATTTTTTTATTTTATTTTTGAGGCCCCCTTTTGCTGCATTTGGTTGGACATTTTTTTTTTTTTTTTTGGTAGCCCATCATTCTTGAGGCCCTTTGCTGCGGTTATAATTTTTTTTTTTTGGTGGCCCAACATTCATGGGCTTATAAATTTTGATTAGCTGCACCTGGTTATAATTTTATTTTATTTTTTTTTATTATTATTTTTTTTTGTGACCAATACATGGGCCTATAAATTTGGAGGTTCCTTATATTCTGAGGCCATAGGCGATAGCCTTGGTCGCCGTGAGCCAAGGCCGGCCCTGACCTTGAAAATATTCAAAAACATGATATGGTTTCTGATATTGATGGGACTGCATTATCTTTAGAGTTACAAGTCTTAAGAAAAACTTTACCAAAAGAAATAAAAAAGACAATTGAAGTATTGGATTTTATAAAAAGGCTAGGTTATTGTTTTCCAAATGCTTGGATTGCATATAGAGTATTATGGACTATTCCGGTTACAATTGCATATACTGAGATAAGTTTTTCAAAGTTTAAGTTAATCAAATCTTACCTGCGATCGACGATGACACAAGAGAGATTGAATGGATTGGCTATCTTGTCTATTGAAAAATATGAGTTTAAGAAAGTTTATTTGAGTACTTTAATTAATAATTTTGAAGTTCAAAATACAAGACGGTCACATTTACTCTAATGAAAAATTTTGCACTTTTACAGTTATCAAAATTTTTTTTTGCTTACTATAAAAAATTTGTACGTGTGAAACTTATATATAAGAGGGGCCTCACATTTAAAATTCATTTAGGACCTCTCGAGATTTTTTCAATCGGTCGCCACCATTAATAACTGGCCGACTCCCATTTTTTAGTGTCCGATATTCCTTCACATTTTTTGGGTACTGATGTGAGTGTCCTGTGTGTTGAAGGTTTTGTCAACTTTAGTATCTAGGAGTGTGATGCCTAATAATTTCATGTGGGGGTACCACACTCTTCCTTATGTATATGTATGTATATATCACAAAATATAATATATTCATATATATATATATATATAAAGAATGGGATATAAAGAAGGGCGGTAAGAAGAAGAGATCCGAAGTGCAGCTCCCAAATGCTTCACCTGCTTTATGTTTAGAAAAATTTGCATTTTCATTTTTTTTTTTTTTATTCCCGTTCCCCATTTTCAATTTGGCGTGGGAGTGGCTAAACAATTTTGAGCTCTGTAAATTTTACAGGATTTCTTATTTTTTTAGTTGGGCTTTTTTTGTTGATATATACAATAACAATTTAGGTAGCTGCCTTGATTTTCTTAGCAGCAGTAAATTCAAATGTATATATATGTATAGAGAGAGGCACATGTATGAGTATGGAAATTAATTTTAAAATTATCCTATCCTCGAAATGAAATTCTAAACCACAGAAACAGGGGCATGATGAGCAGTAACGAGGGCCCAAGATTCCATGAATAGGCGAAGAGGCATCCCTTACCGTCTGCTCAAAAAGAGTCCCATTGCCGACTGATCAGACATGTACGAAGCAAGACCGTCAACATAACCCTTGTCATGATCTACCATATTATATGCTCTTTTTATCCTCTCTTGTTTAAAGTTTAAATTGCACAAGCTTCTTATCAACTCATGTAAAAAAAAAGATAAAAAAAAAATCATACATTATTAATTTAAATGTCATTCACTGCAATTTCATTTTTAGTTACAGCGAGACATAAAATAAAATAAACATAAAGACATAACATAAAGATATAACCATGTCTAGTCGATCTTGAGCTCTAAAGATATAACCATGTCTAGTCGATCTTGAGCTCTACTTGGCGCATGTTGGATCGTAAACATTGGCCCGGCGAAACCCTTTCAATCACCCGCCAGACCACCGGATCTGTACCAGCAGGAGCTTCATCCTCGAGACCTTCATCCTTCTCGTCGTCGTCATTCACCACGGGAGGAGCTTGGCGTTGTCGTCGTCATAACATGCACTATTTGTCTTATTCATCCACAGAGCCCTACGGCATCTACAAGCAACAAAACCACAAAAGATAACCAAAGCAAAAGTCACAATCACCAAACCAGTGATACACAAAGAGACAAAGAGACCCTAGCCCTGACCATACAAAGCAAAAAAGGCTGTAGCATCAAGTGATAACCAACACCAACACGCGTAAGAAGGATTGAGAGCATACGTACAGACCCTGTACAGCACAAAACACAGACCATGTGTGACCCGGAAGCCTACAACAGACACCACATGAGACGCCAAGAAAACCGAGGAAGACCAAGGGATTTGACCAATCGCGGGCGAACCACAAGCAGGGAAAGCAGCATCGGAAACAAAACAACACCAAGAACTAAAACCACAATAAAACCGAAGCACCAGAGGAGAACCATCCTCACTAAGATGACCGACAAAAACATGCCACGACCCATAGTCAACGGCGGCCGGAGGAGAGGCAGCTCTGAACAGAGCAAGAAAAAGAGGCAGCGAACCTGCTTCAATAACATGTCCAATGCGCAACAACCCGAAACAGGAGAAAACATCCGGCACGCAGGACCAAGAAAACAACGCACCTTTCCCAACTAGCGAAATCGGCGACAGGAAATCCCGTGCAGCAACCAACCAAAAGCCAAAACACATGGCCACAAAAAGCATGATCACAGACAACCACCCGATGCAGACAAGCAAAAGGCCAGGAAACAGGAGGACAACCATAAAATCCAAACAAACCAACCAAATACCGGGATCAAAAGGGAAACCCAATGGAAATTGGCCAAAAACCCACCCACCGTTCAAAACCCTCTAGATAACAACCCAAAAGGGCCGAAGGGCCAACGGGTTCGAACACCCACACAAACTGATGCCGGGATGGAGGATGAAAGCCATCCTATAGAAATACCCAGTGGAGAAAACACAAACTCTGAAAACAGAGAACCTTAACGAAGAGGAACCTCTACCCTAGATGATCTCTCGCTTTTTTGGGACTCTGGGTTTAGGGATTTTTTTTTTTTTTTTCGGGAGAGACAGAGAGAGGAGAGGAGTCCCTCTGAGATATTTCTTATTCATCCATAGAAACTAACCAAGTATCAGAGATTATTCATCCACAGAAAGTAATCAAGTATCAGAGATTTCTACCCCACCACACACCGCTATCAAACTATTGAATATTATATATGTGTGTGTGTGTGAGAGAGAGAGGATAAAATTTGCTCCATGTGAGCTCCACGAGACTAGGTGAGGCAGCATGTTGCAGAATTGCTCCCTCAGTGGACTCACAAAATGTGACTATGATCACTTTATAAAAAGGTGTATATATATATATTAGTCCTACTCTGAAAGCTACTTCATAATAGCACTATATAAAATTAGAACGACAATCAAATAAAAACATTTTTGTTTTTGTTTTCTTAATAAAAATAAAAATAAAAAAATATTTTGAAATTACAAAAATGTTTTACACTTGATAACAATGCATATTGCAGCTTTATATTTCTGTGTTGCTTATTCAAAAATGGATTTCTAGCAATTTTTTGGTTATAATTGTTGGATAGTTTAACAAGGTTCTCACATCAGTTAAAAAATAAAAAAACTTAGAACTTATATAAGGTTAATCTTTTGAATACCTCCAAGTCTAACAATAAATATAATTGTTTGCTAACGAGAAAGGAGGTTCCGAGAGGGAGAGAAAGGAAGTAGAGAGAGGAAATATATACTGACCCAAACCTTATAAACATTACAGTAGTAGTGTTCTACTAGTGTGATTTTATTTCTACTTTCTTTTCACATGGATGGAAGGGACGACTTACATTGTTATTTGGAGTAATTTTTAATTTACCATTTTATTAAGATAAACTGAAAAGAGATTTCCTATCAAAATTGGTCATTTTAAAACCAACATCACTGCAAAGTAAGGGGATTTATATAATTCAATTAGCCAGGCAAAAAAAAAAAACATACCTATTTTCTTTTTGCCAATTCCACCCATTCCCATCAACTCTCGTCTTTTAGAAAAGAGACCTACATTATTAGGACAAAAGAGGAAAAGTTTTAAAAGAGTTAATAAACTTGTAAAACATATATTCTGAAATTGAAAACTAAACTTCGAAGTCTTTAATTCCCATTAATAAATTATTCGAACATCACATCATAACAATATTATATATATGTATGTAAAAACAAAAACAAAAACAAAAAATCAATATGTAAAACATGAATATATAAACGTAACCAATAGGTAAAAATGCCAATTAAAATTTTAGAAAAAATAAGAGTTTGTTACCTGATGACTGAGGAGGCATGTTTCTTGAACCTTGTTCTTCCTAAATGTTAAGGCCCGATGCTAACCCTAAAAATAAGAAAATACTCAAGTTGTGAGGAAGAGGTTTCACAATCTCACTCATAACAATTAAAACACCACCATCTAAGTACTATCTTTATCATGTATCAACCCAACCCAACCCAACTATGCTTTCAGTCAAAATGTTGGACACCTATTCGTAGAAAGAGATGTGATTATGGACAGGTGTAATTAGCACATATGATACTCAGCTCTTATGTTAAATTAATCCAATAACAAAGTACAATGCATCAGTTTAGGAATAATCTTCAAAATTAACAAATCAATATCATGATATTTTGCATTCTAATAACAAAAGAAAATCAAAAACCAAAATTTGAAAATAAAAATATGGCATAATGATTTGAATATATCCTTCGTGCATTACACAGATTGTATTTCTATGTGAAAAAAAAAAAATCCAAGATTTCTCAATGAGGTGGGCTAAATCAAAATATATCAATCAAATTAACTGTTGTTTAATTCAATTTTAGTTAATTAACAATGTTTCTTTAGACAATTGACTGATTAAGGCGTAGAAAATCCTATTTGGGTAATTAATAAAAACAATTACCAATTTATTTCTGAACAATTCAGCACTCCGTACCTATCTCTTATTTTGACCAATTTACTAATCCTATTTGAGAATCTAGTAGTGGAAGCAGAGTGTGAGGTAGTTCATGGCAAGCCCCTTCCAACACTATGGAATTCACTCAAAATCATGCTTTTTGTAAGTATTTTAATTTTCAAGAAGTAAATTTAGAGCTTTACCCTGTATGAACTACTTTTGCTTGTCAAAGTTCTTGTTATGATTTTTTTTTTTTAGTTCTGAAAAGATTTCCATCTTCAAAAAGCTTGGCATGTTGATAAAAATTGTTTCAGATTCAATCTCTGCAGGTTTCTAAACCAATTCAGATTATTTTTATTTTTTATTTTTTTTTTCATGCCCAGATTCAAATTTTGGTGTAGACATAAATGACAACAAAAAAAAAGAAAAAGAAAAAAAACAGAAATAGAAGTTATAGAAATAAAAAATATATATATTTGTTTTGCCAAAATAAAATGTAGATTACCGTGATTACCTCAAAATGCAATGCAAATTTTGTTACTTTATATTGTAAAAATAAAATAAAATAATATAAAAAAAGATCTTAAAAAATTTCACGAAATAGGATTTAGTTTGCAAAACAAGAATTATAGACCTTGATTAGTTGATATAGAAAAAAAAATATATAAAAACAAAACCCATACATACAAGTTAGCAGTTGCAGAGAGAGAGGGGGGAAGCTTGATAGTTGAGAGACAAATGGATTGCGCCAACGGCTGAAGCTTGCGAACGGCGAACCCAATCTTGAACAGCGGGCGATGGAAACTGAAATATATGTGTTTTGAACTTCTGATTCTGGTAGATTTTGTGGTTTGCATTTGCACAGTGAAAGAGAGAGAGAGAGGGGGGGTAAGTTCAGAGTTGAGAACGAGAATATAGATGGAGGCGATTGGGGAGGCTGAAATGATTTGCCCTAAAAATATTGTTTTTGGAGGCTGAAATGATTTGCCCTGAATCAGACGGTTGAAAATGGCCATAGGTGTGTTTTTCAAGAACAGTATCTAATGGTTGAAGATGTGCCTGGTTGTGTTTTTTTAATTGGTTTGAACGGCTAGGATTGACTCTAGAAATTATGACTCTGACCGTGAAACTTGAATGTTTAATTCTTTAGGATTTGTTATTTTCTTAAAATGCTCTTTACTTATTAATAAATTACAATAGACTTTCATATTAAGAATAATAATGGACTCGTTGGATTGTTGTGATCGGGAATATCTTATTCTCTCCTCTCTAACTACTTATCTTTAACATTTGTATGGTAAATAATATGCGGATATGGGTTTTGATTTTATTTATTCTTGCAGACAGATAAATAAACTGGAATATATGGATTTTGAACTTCTCATTCTTGTAGATCTTGGTTTCATTGCCATAGAAAGAGAGGGCAAGTTTAGAGTCGAGAACGAGAATAGAGATGGAGGCGATTGGGGAGGCTGAAATGATTTGTCCTAAAAATATTATATTTTTTGGTGACCCATCATCCATTGTCTATAAATTTTGAGGCCTTAGCCAACCGCCTTTGTCATCTTATTACGGGGATTACCTCAAAATGCAATGCAAATTTTGTTACCTTATATTGTAAAAGTAAAATAAAATTATATAAAAAAAGATAATAAAAAATTTCACCAAATAGGATTTAGTTTGCAAAACAAGAATTATAGAGCTTGATCAGTTGATATAGAAAAAAAAATAAAAACAAAACCCATACATACAAGTTAGCAGTGGCAGAGAGAGAGGGGGCAAGTGTGAGAGACAAATGGATTGCGCCAGCGACTGAAGCTTGCGAACGGCGAACCCGATCTGGAACAGCGGGCGACGGAAACTGAAAGATATTGGTTTTGGTGAGCAAAACTGAAAGATATGCCGATATGGGTTTTGATGAGCAAAACTGAAAGATTTGCCGATATGGGTTTTGGTGAGCACAACTGAAAGACAGCGGCTGAGAGTTGAGAGACAGCGGCTGAAGCTTGCGAACGGCGAACCAGATGGAAACTGAAAGATATAGGTTTTGATTTTCTGAAATGTTATGGGTTTTGAACTTGACAGATCTGAAATGATATGCGTTTTGAACTTCTGATTCTTGTAGATTTTGTGATTTGCAGTTGCAGAGAGAGAGAGAGAGAGAGAGAGAGAGAGAGAGAGAAAGGGGGCAAGTTCAGAGTTGAGAACGAGAATACAAGTGTGGGCGATTGGGGAGGCTGAAATGATTTGCCAAAAGTGAGTGGACGGCTGAAAATGGCTATCTGTCTGCTTTTCAGAGCAGCATCCAACGGTTGCAGATATCTTTGGTTGTGTTTTCTTAATTGGTCTCGGTATAGCCGACTAGAATTGACTCTGAAATTATGAATTGGATTATGAGGGTTGAATGTTTCATTCTTGATTTAAAATATTACCACTATTTATATATGCTATTACGATGGTTTTGCAAAGTTAAAATCAATTTGCGATTTGAGTAGGATTAGCTATTTTCTTAAAATGCGCTTTACTCAAGAATAAATTTCAATAGACTGCCTCGTCTTTAAAAAATTTGCCCTAAAAATATTTTATATGCTTAGTTTCACTGGACTTGTTGAGTACCGTTGGTCATGTTCTAAGACATGAATGAATATTTTATATAAATTACGTATATTATCTTACATATATACATATATGCATGTATTTGAGATTGTATGTATATGTACCTATAATCAGCCAATTCAGCCTACAAATCCCAACTATACAGATATCATGTATTATAATTGTGAACAACTAATTTGCTCAAATAAACGTACCCTCGAGCTGCCGCATAACTTTCAATTTAGTAGTACCCCAATCTTATATATACTTTGGTGTTTCAATTCTCTTTCAAATGACTACGAAATAAATATTGTGGTTGACTATGTTAAATGTACAAAGGTCAACAATCGAAGCAAGTAGGAAGAAAGTTTCACAATGTCGGCATGCCTTCATGTTAGCATACCTGTCATCCAACCTGCACACTTAAATAAACTAAAACCCTACCATATGCCTAACATGCTCATATATATATATATATATATATATATATATATATATTTGATTTTTTATTATTTTTTAAATTCTACCTCGACAAAAGTTTCATGCATTAGATTAGTGATATCTTCTGTTCTTTCAAAGGGTATAGTGAGGATTCCAATCCCCGTAGATATAAATGAGTACATGAGTTTTCCACTAATGAAAAATAGAAAAAAGAAAGAAAAAAAGTCTAGTCCTTTTAAATACATATATGCGAATTTTAAATATATATATATATATATATATATATATATATATTAAAAAAATTTGTGGGTTTAGCTCCTCATGACTCATGAGCAATAAGTTGTGTCATGTATAATGGCATCTAATTCTTGGGCTTTTTGATATTTAATGGACCTTAGCTTGTACCATTTGGGGGCCCTTTTGTTCCTTTGCTGGGTCCTTCGGGTATGCCCCATGTAGAGAGTTGTATAGTTTTCTTTTTTTATTTTTCTTTTTAATGCACATTTATCTATTAAAAAATACAAATTTTATTCATGTGTTCACATGAAAATTTAAAGCAAACACACACACATTATCTATATAATATATTTCTAATACAACTCGAACTTTCAATCTTTCTAGGGACACATGGTTATAATCTTTTTGATCGAATTAATTTATTGAGTACAATATTTGAACGGATTGTACATGTCATTTTATATTCCTTTTGTATGTGTCAAAAATATACATATATGCGAATTATGGAAAAACATTTGACTGATTCAAATTTATTTCAAAAAAAATAAAAGTAAATGAAAATAATATAAAAGTATTAAATTAATAATAATAATAATAAGTACTGGTGGAGAATTAGATTACTGGTTAGAAAGTTTGACTGCAGAAAATGTGCTTCATGATCACAAGAGGGGTGGATTGTGATGACCTTGTGGGCGGGTATGCCATGGGCGGGTGCAAGAGACACTGTCAGGCTACCACATTGGCGAGTTACGGATGTACAGTCCCACATCGCC